TTGGGTCCCCATGGTTGTTTTTCGTTTGTTTTTTTTGTTGTTTTTGTTCTCCAACTGGTCCCCCCAGCCTCGGCCCGTCCAGCTACTGGTACTGCCATGCCTTGCAGGCTCGACATACCGGTCGCTGGAGGCTCAGACTTGATAGTTGGGCCAAGTACTGGTGGTTTAATGAAAAGGTCCACAAGGATATAAAACCGCACAAGCAAAAAGGAGGAGGCCTACCTCAACCCTCTACATCCAACCAATCATATATCCCTCTACAACCTCTATTTCTGACCCACTACCACCCCTACTTCCCTATCTTTTTCACCCAAAAATAATGTTCGACCGTTGTATACAAATATAACGTCCGCTGGGCATTATATTCAGTACAATCACGGTTAATGGGAGGCCCAAAATTAGGGGTTTTTCGCTGCATCACAATAAACAATGTTGTCGAAACTTTTGCGAACAAACTATGCAGGGTCATAATACAAACATCAAACAAATGATCAAGCAAAAAAAAAAAATCAAGAGCACTATAAAACCCTATTCGGAGTACCTTTCGGAGTTCGTTGAATCGTTCTTCGAGTCTGGTGTTTTTGCCAAAATTTTCGTAACTTGTCCAAATATGGCGAAACTGAATACAGATATACCCTAAAGCACACACATATCAGATGAAAAAAAAAAAACGAGAAAAAAGTAGAGCTTCAAAGAAATATGGCAGTTTCGGTGAAAATTTCACTAAAATTCGCCGAATTTTGGGCCTTCCATTAACCGCCACTCATTTAGTAAATACTAAATTGGTGGCAACTTCGGTGGGGGGGCAAAATTCTGAAGAAAAAAAATCAAAGAAATTTGTACAAAAAATATGTTGTCCAGAACTGCAATGTGACCATCTTTTGGGTGAGTGTCACTACATAATTCATTATAAACTCGAAAACAGAAAATAAAAATAAAAAATCAAACTGAAATATGCCCCCTGGAAGGCAAAACCCCTTTCAACCCCCTTTAAAATTTATGTATATCCCCCTCCCCGCCCTTTCAAACCCATGTATACCGCCTCTACAAGGAACTTTGCCCATGGAACATTCAAATATAACGCTTGAGTGTTCTATTCGAATATAATGCCCAAACATTATATTCGAAAGGGCGTTTTATTTGAGAAAAAAATAGTAAAAGTGGAAATTTTATCTTTTTAGGGTAAGTTGAATATGACGCCTAAGCGTTATATTTGAAGGGGCATTCTATTTGAGAAAAAAATAGTACAAACGAAAATTTTATCTTTTAAGGGTAAGTTAAATATGACGCCTGCGCGTTATTTTCGGGTGAAGACGATAGCCCTGTCTCTACTTACATACAATCCAACAACAGATCTTCAGTTTGTCTTCTGGGGAGATTGTGGCCTAGGCATTACCTATTCACCAGGTTTCTCTTAGCCACCGGAGCCCTTCTTCACGATTGCCCTAAGTGCCTCGACGAGACAATTTTGCCCTAATAGTTAATGTCAGCAGGGATCGAAAAACTGCTTCTGCCTGTTGTTGAAGAAGGCACTCCTTTTGAAATTTCGCATTATTCTTGTCCAGCCAGATCACTCATGGAATGATGGCTCTACCAAATTGGGCGATGTACCCCCACCCCTTAGAGGTGCTCGTACCTTGTGGGGTAACCCCAAGTATCGGCTATCAATACCCCAACATCTCCGATTTGCCAGCGAATGTGTTCCAGTGCATCTCCCAGCAACGCCACCACTTTCGTGACCGAGGGCAATCCCACCACAGATGGCTTAGTGATTCCTCTTGATTTTGACAACGGTTGCAGTTCATCACAACCTCCATCCCTCTCTTTCTCTCTCAACCATTTGAAGGTTGAAAGCTCCAAGTGAGACTGAAGCCACAATAGAGAGGCAGTTTATGTGGTGGAATTCAGTTTAGTTAGGACCAGAGTGTCCCCAATTCCCTCTCATTTGGAGGGGGGCACCTGTGAACACTCCCTAATCGATCTTGTAACGATTTTTTTCTCGACAAAGGAGGAGGTTTTTAAGATTTTTAGGATAAGTTTCGAGTTGAGTCTCTCAAGTGTTGTCTCACCTTAAACCTGTCATCCCCAAACTGCCGCATCGATGCTTAAGTGTTTCAGTGGGGTCTCATTCACAACCAAATGGGGGATCGTTGGGAAACCAACCTCTGTGGGCGCTTGCAACCTCACCCTCACTTCTGTAAGCCTCATGAGACCGTACTAAAGCTGCATTCCAACACGCTCCAGTGTTGGGAGATTCGGGATACTCCTTTTGTAAGACTCAAGCCAATATTTGCCAGAACCATCGTCGAACCAACTTTCCAGCCTGTAGTACCACTCCTCCTCATTGTCTCGTCCGTACAAAGTGTCGGGGATCAATGGTTTCCGGCCCTAGTAGATGATTCCAATGCCATATCCGATGATGATCATGGTTGTTGGTGGTCGGTGAGGATGGTCTTGTTGATCATCATGGCATATCCACGATCGATGGGGATCGTCTTGTTGATCATCATGACATATCCGACGACCGTCCAAGGATCATTTCCCAGTTGATGGGGATGGTTTTGTTGATTATCATGGCATATCCTCGGTTGATGGGGATCGTCTTGTTGATCATCATGGCATATCCGACGACCTTCTATGGATCACTGCACTATCGGGTTGTTGGTGGTTACTAGGAATCGTCTTGTTGATCATCATGGCATATCAGACGATCGTGCACGAATCACTTCAAGTTCACTGTCGGGATTGGGATCATCTTGTTGATCATCATGGCATATCCGATGACGACAGTTCACGGATCAGTTCATTGTCAGGCTGTTGGTGGTCGATGAGGATCGTCCACAGATTACTTCATTGTTGGGTTGTTCATAGTAAATGCGAGCCAACATTTTGAACGTATTTGAACTTCTCATTGGTCCTGTGACTGAAGTTTTATTTGCTAGAAGGGTTTGAATGGTTGAAAAAAATAAAACATAAATGAAAAATTTTATTTGCTGGCAGGTTGTTAACCACTACGGCCTCAACCTTGCAGTCCGAAACTTGTCACCATAAAGGCCGAAATATCAAACGCTAGGCCTGCCATTGATAAATTGGATCGGCAGTTGAGTTTCCGTTTTTCGCTTCCAGAATTTGAGGTGTCAGGCCCGCGGCTCAAGTTCTCATGTACTAGCAAATGCCTTCTGGTTCTTTGGGTCAGATAAGTTATAGGCTTATAGCGGCCAACGGATCGTAAAAAGTTTTGGGGAGGCCGGCCTCTCATATACAGAAAGAAGTGAGTCACCATGGGGAGACTATTCGTAGGAATATTGTCATCATCATCATGTCTATTTCATGCACTCTGGTTTTCTGAGGTGTTGGGCTGTTTTTGGCTTACTTCCTTATTCAAGACGTAGATTTTAGAGATGATGGAATCAACGCTGATGTTTGCTGAGTGACCTTGTTCTGTGTCTCTGTTTCGTCGATGCCAGAACGACGCTGGCCGGAGCTGGGGCGTCGCCCTGTAACCTGCATTTGGCAGGAGTATGAGGCCTTGTAGAGAGATCTGGGGATTTGYTGAGGGAGGAAAGCAATCCAGCGACGAACTGGGGAGGCTGCCTTGACGATCTATGGGGCTAGGATTAGTCTTGGTGGCGAGAACAGGTCAACTATGGCTGTCAKTGGTGAGGAGGGTGTAGTCTCTGAGATGTAAAGTCTTGGTATAGGGTGTGCTAGGAGGTGCTYTAGGTGAAGAAAGCCAGTGGTGGTGATATAGTATAGTCTTTTAAATCATTATCARTATAATTTTCTTCACAGTCATCACAATCATTTGCTGCAGGTTTTATTAGGCATTCTGGTGTTCTGGCTTTGGTCAGCATCTAGCATTYTTTTGCATCTGGGACATAGGATTGAGAGATGGTCRAACCATGAYRGATGTCAGCTGAGCTGTTCTRTTYTGTGCCMCTGGTTTGCTGATGCCAGAAYRAYGCTGGCCGGAGCTGGGGCRTCGCCCTGTAAMCTGAAMTTGGCRGGGGCATGAGGCCTTGTAGAGAGATCTGGGTTTTGCCGAGGGAGGAAGGCAATTYAGTGGCAAACAGGGGGGGCTGCTATGCGGTGAGAACAGAACAGCTATGGAGGATATCGGTTAGGCTGGTATTGTCTCTGWGTACAATGTCCTGATACAGGGGGGGTAGGASCTGATCCAAGAGTAGGAGGTCRGAAGGGCTGATATACTAAWCATCATCAGCAGTAATTCTATYAGTATTTACTATCATCATAATCGTAAGCTTCAGAGGTGGGACGCTGAGCCCGGTTCTCAGCAAGCTGGGTTTGGTTACTCCGGGTAGAATGTGAGGACCCCGGCCTCAATCATCTTATTGATAATATCAGCCTTGGGCACTGGGCCCATTGGTTAAAAAAACAAAAAAGGGGAGAAAGATTATCTTTAAATCAAATTGGCTGTGCCCTATTTGTATAACAAGTGATTTGATCATGCAGCTGTGTAGCAGTTATGGGACAGCTATTCCAGGACTACAAGTAGCGTAAACAATAGGTTCAAAAAGTAACATGGACCTGGTTTTTGACACTGAATAATAAAAAAGAGAAGGGAAAAAAAAGTAACATGGACCTGGCCGCACCCGTCACCCAGAAACAAAAGGAGAATGAATCTTGCGCTAAAACATCGAATTTAGACGTACGACAGGGCCCGTGCTTTCCCAAACAGGAAATCCCGGACTGCTTGCTCCACAAGTCATCAACGGTCGTGCAACTGACGGTCGCCCGCCCGCCGGCAAGCAGTCGCACGACCGTTCGACGGAAGCCTTCTTCCTACGCACCTAAGTGTACCTAAGGACGCCTTCTAAACCCCTCCTAACCCCTCCTGACCCGCAACGAGATACCCGAACCGGAAACACCCACCAGACGACAAATTGCAAAACCCGGGGCAAGGTCCCACTTGCGCAAATTAGTAGATTTCGGCCGGTGATCTTTGCTATCTACGGTCAGTATCTCTTAATTCGTTCAAGTGGGACCTAGCCCCCGGTACTATAAACATACCCTCCTCACTGTGGGCGTCGGCCGCACATGCGCGCGATCTCAGTGGTCACCCAGCCCCCCGTTCCGTCTCCGTCTTTCCCCGCCTTGCACCGTGTCGCTGACTCCCGCCTTGCACGAGTCGCGTTGGCGCGGATTTGGACCAACATTTGGTGATCGGGGAAAAACGAGGCCTGTCATCTGGCTGCAAAAGCGAGAGCCTAAGAAGACACACACACACACACAGGCGGATATCGACGTTATCAACATCGACGGGAGGCGTTTGTGTTGATTGATACTCGGTCGTTCGCTGATTGGTTGGCAAGTCGGTAACCATGATTATCCC